AAACCTAAATTATTCCCAAGAATCTAAATAATGGTATTATATTCCCTTACAGAACTGACTGGAAGAAATTATGGCAGCTGGTGTCGGGCATACATCATGAAACACCTGAAAGCACTGTCTTGGAAGAGCTAACAAATGTAAGCCAAGAATTACAGGATGGCCTTTTGCAATTTAAGACATCGAATGATTCCAAAACAACTTTGGAAAAGTTGTTGGCGGAAAAGAAACAAGAGAAGCTACTGCCATTTACCATACGTTTGCAGGAATTACTGGTGGGTAAATTCAAAACACTACAAGGAAACTATTTAATTTGTTATCACTTTTACAGGATCTCGAATCAGTGCAATGTTGGGAAATCTTATGCTTCTATTTGGCCAATGAATATCGCGGTTCAGCCAGCTCCCTAACTACACTCATATCAACCGAAAATAATATGACCCAATTACTGGATGATATTTGGGGTTACTACACCTTGGAACGTTTGATTGTATTGAAAATTGTAAAAAATCTATTGATCTTTTACCGTGTTCCCAACCATCCATATCACAATGAGTATAAGCAAATTGTCAATAAGATCGGCATGGATAAGCTAAGGGAATCTTATATCAAACAATTGGAACATTTGATAAATGAGGCACCACCCCATAAATTGACCAATCGTGAATTTTTCAATTATCAATCGAAATTGGTTAATTGGTCAGAACGTAATGCACGAGAAATTATAGAAGTTTCGCATATCATCATCCTACTGTGTGATCATCGACATTTCAATGCGCAAGAAATTAAAAGATTATTTTATTGTTTTAAACAACATTCCTTTGGTAGGCAGCAAAGTTATCTGAATGCCTCTGCAAATGCTTTACATTTTGAACTGTTAACACGTCTGGCCTATGCAGAGTTGGCGCTATTTCTTAAATGTCTGGACTTTAAGAGAGACAGCGGTGACTCAAAGCCGTTGGCCAATAGTGTATTTAAGGAATTGGATAAAGATGTTACCGGTATGTGTCATCATCCGGAAAATGGTCCAATGCTTATGTCATGGATGCTAATGCAAATCCAATATACGGAAGCAGCCGAGAATGAGGAACATTTAATGCGTTGCCGTAAAATGGGTAAAAGAGCAGTGGATTTGAATTGTTTTAAATTTCTACATGATTTACTATCAAATTCAATGTTTATGGTGAGAGGAAATTAAATTCTCTACTTGGTGTTATTTTTAAATTTTTAATTGTTTCTTAAGGATGATTCCATGGTCTCGAGAATTGTTCGAAAAACAATTTATAATATGTTAAGCCAATTGTGTGAATATTTTGATGGTGATGGCTCATGCTCGAAACATCCATTTATTTATGAACTTGTCTGTGAGCTATTAAGTTGGCCAACATTGGCTAAGGAATTCTGTTCACAAGAGGGTTAGTAAAAAATGATTTTAATAATGCTATTAATTAATTATATCCAATTTATTTCTTAGAGGGAGGAGTTCGTTCGCTTTATGACACATTATTGGAAATGTTCCCATTAGATTTCGCCCATCTTTCTATGATAGCCACAGCCTTGACTAAGGCTGGTATGGGAAATTATGTAAGTATAATTTTTAATTTATAATGTTGTGTTTCAATGATACCAAAACCCTCCTCATGGTACAATTTTTGTACCCTGAAAAATTGTAAGAAATCCAGGCTTATATGTCGTCCTTGAAAAAATGTTTAAAAAATTCTTTACAAAATCATCCTTAATCTCTTAAATATATTTTCTTCTTCCTTTGTTTTTCTAGGTCAGACAAAATCTCGAATCCTTGCCCATACTCACAGATGTCTATGATGAAACTCGATTCCATTTAAAACCCCTAGGAGGTGATGATTATGTTTTGGGACACACCGTTAAACCATTTCCTCGTATTGATTTCTATCTACCCGAGGGTACCCAAGCCACTGTATTGGGTCGTCCCGAAGGCTATTGTGTTCACTTCCGTTTGCCAGTGAATTATTTTAATGTTTTACATCATGAAATTAATTCCCTGCTGACTGAGACAATGCATTATCATGGTGATTATGAAAATACGGAGCGTGTTCGACGTGTTAACGAAGGCTTAAAATACCTACATGCCGCCTTGAAGAAAACCAAATCATTGCAAGGAATTAGTGTTGAAATGGTTCATCCCACTGAAATGTGCATCGATTTGTTAAACAAATTTAAGGCTTTGCAGAAACCACCCATCGAATTATTGGCCAATGCATTGAATGTGTGTACCGCCTTGCTGCCCTTGGCGGATGCTGAAATATTTATACGTGTCATAAATTTATCTATTTTACCGGTGATAAGCAACGATTCGCTGGGAGATTATAAAAAATATGCCCATGGTTCCTGTTTTGATTCCCTGTTGGTTGGTTCCTATTTGGTTGATGTCGAGAAGAAACGTGAAAGTTTTGAATTTTTACAAGCCTATTTGGGTTTCCTTAGGACCTATACGAAATTGCAAAGGAGAAAATATTTTCAAGTGGAAATTCCCGGTTTGATATTTTTGCTTCGTGATGTTTTCCCCCACTTGCACGTTTGGCGTTTCAAATCCCAGCAGGAAAAGTATACAATTTATGCCGAGATTATGGGTTTTATATGTGATATTCTGGATGAGTTTACCGCCTTGGAAAAGGATAAGGAAGTACCAAAGGATCAACTTTTATTGCGAGACATTTGCGTCTACTCCATGTTAAATATGGAAAATGGTATAATTCTGCTGCGTTTTGTGGCCTTGGGTAATGCTTATCTGCAACATTGCATGGAAATGGAATCGAATTGGATGATACAACAAAGCCATGGCCTGGTGTTGTTGGTCCGCTTATCCATGCGTATTCTAATGCAGGTTTTAAAATTGAAATCCACAATTTTTGATTCATCTGAGTTGTCACCATTGGAGGCAATGATTTATACACAGCCCAAGCAGAGAGACACTCTGCGCATTATCCCCGTAGTAACACGTTATATGAGTAACATTTTCGACCGATGGCTACCCATATTGTCGTGTAGATTGCTGAAAAGAATTGCCTTGGAATTTAATATGTCTCTGCTGGCCTGCTTGGATATGGAGGCGGATCAAATACGTATGACTTTCCTGCAAAAATTACCCGATGAATTGGAAATCGATTCCATTAAAATTGCCATATTGGAACTGGTGGAATCGTGTATTGCCAAACAACCCGGTGTCACAGAGGCTTTCTTCAAAGTCAACTACAACAAAGAGAAGCGTATTTTTGGCAAAGAAAGCGATACACAAATATCCGACAGTATTGTAACCTACATGGAGGATTACTTGGAGGCGGTTAGTAAAGATCCACAAATTGTGGAACAGACATTGCCGAGTAAAATCATGAATCTGTATCACATGCTGTGGAAACAGAATATGCAAATATTGGTGGACTCCTTGGCGCAAAAGGACAACTTCTGGAATAAATTGTGTAAACCCCTGTTTGGGGAATATAAATCCAATGTCAAGGCCTATACCCAATTGCTGAATATTTTGGGTATTGAGATATTCTCCAATCATCACAAACCGAACAGTGATTTAAAGAAAGTGGTAGCCAAACTCTTTGACGCACCACATTTTGAAAAATGGATAGATTTTGTTTTCGATTTACCCAGAACGGCAGTGAAGAAGCCACATGAATTTAATCCTGAAGAAATGCCGGAATGGCTGTGTCGTCTGCAAGCGTTTAAAAGCTTTCTTTTAATACTGCTTAAGAAACAACCCGCCTTTATGGAAATTCCTCGCAAACAATTTAAGCTGTTGGCCCAGAAGACGCTCAACATTTTGGTGGAAAGAGCAGAATATGTAGAAGACCTTAGGCCTCTGATAATCATTTCGGAATTATATTTATTCATCATATTGGGTTTTAAACATGCCTATACCGAATCTTCGGAGGAACATCGCAACACCTTGAAACAATTAAATAATCTACTGGCCAAAGTGGCTTCTTGTTACGCCGATTTACATGTTCGAGCCAAGGAGGCATGCCTCTCGATAGCCATAAAATGTGCCGATTTATTGTCGGAAGAATTAACGGAAGACTCATCGCTGTCAATGATGTTTTTACATTCGGTAGTGAATATTATTTGCTCGGAATTACACAACCTCGAGAATTGTGTGAAAATTGAGATCAACAGCAAAAAATCCAGTGAGGAGCTTAAACGCAATCCCCTCTCATCTTCAAACTCTTTGATCTTGTGTTTGAATCTTTTGAAAACCATTGCTGCCATATTCCACAATGATGGTTTTGGTAATTGGGATTTACCATTTATTACTAATAAAGTCTTCCAACGTTTGCTCAGTTGCACTGGTTCCATTTTACAGCTGCACAATAAACAACAATTATCTGTGGAGCTGCTGGATGTTCTGATTGTCTTTGCCAAAGGCAATTGTTCGGCAGAATTTTTACACTGTGATGTTGGAGATTATTTGTGGTTGAAGCTGCTACCACCCAAAGAGTTATTGGAGGCAAATTATTCCTTGCAGCCGAAGGATAGTGATTGGACGGTACACAAATGGTGGCCAATTTATGCCCGGGGCATTGAATTGGTTACAATACTGTTTCAGAAACATTCATATCATTTCCTTAAGGAAACTCTTCAATTTGTGGGTATCCATGAAGAATATTTAGTGGATTCCTTGCTGCTAAGTAAACAATCATTGGAGCCGTCGGCAATGCGTTTAATAAAAAGTTGTTCCACATTACTCTCCAATTTGGTGTTATTCGAAAAACAATGGCGTTTGGAACATTCACAATCACTTTTTAATTTGATGGTGAGTTATACTTTCGAGGATTTTTTTATTTATATTAAAATAATGTTTTCATTTTTTGTTATAGCGGTCAGTCCAAATACTCTTAAGCCATGCCATAGCCATGTTCCATCAACCTAAAAACTTGAAGTTATTAATTGCTGGACGTCGTTCCCAATTGGAAATTATACGTGATTCGGAAAGTGCTGGGCTTGTAGATGAGGCCATAACGGCTTTTAATGAGTAAGTAACAGTTAAAAAAAATATTTTGAGTTTAGGAGAAAACAAATCGTGGATGTCATAAAAGTGTGAATTAAAAAAGTACTTTTTCAAGGCATGGATTTTCAAAAATATTTTTTTAAGAACTATGAGAACTTAAATGTTTTTAACGAATATTTTTTCAAGGACTATGAGGGCTTAGATCTTTTTGATGAATATTTTTAGAGGACTAAAAAACAACAAGGTTTTATAAATTGATTTATTCTGTCTTTTTTAGCCTAACCGAGATCATCATCTTATGCGTCAAGTGTCTGCAAGCATTTAGTCCCAATTTGGTCGATTTGATATGTGAACCAGAATTTGCGGTTTTCAAGTGGGAGCCAATATTTGAGATATGCTTTGGTGCTCCCAAATTAAGTGAGAATGCTGTGCATCTTACATTTGGAACTGTTCTTAGTATTGTGGGTGTCTATACAAAGGTTTTGAATTTGGTAAGTACTTTTTCTTGATAACTTTTAAAAATAATATCATAAACAAATGTATTTCTTCTTGTCATAGCAAAATTATGGTTTTCATGAAGTTCCCCTCAATGTTCTCCCAGAAGTGTGTCGACAAGGTGGTTCTGCTACCAGCAGTGGCAATACAAGCATTACCAAATCCCCACAAGCTCACAATATCTCTTCGCGGCCATTTTCCAAATCTCTTTCAGTGGCCTCAGTTTCATCTATTAATTGTCCCCCAAATGAATTGCTTTCGAATTTAGATGGTGAATTGTGTTTGGTTGCCTTGGAACATATACTAACACTGGCAGCATCACAAAGTCTACTGGCTCTAAAGAATCCCAGTCTACCGACCCGTGAAAAACAACTTATACGCCGTGAAATAAGTAGTGAGCTGTTGTCATATCATGAATTTGTACGCAAGAAGGTTGTGGTGGACTTTAGGGAACACAACAAAATTTGGCATCGTCGTAAACATGGTCAAGTCCTGATGCAAGAAGTTGATTCGGATAAAGATTTGAATGGTAGTGGTGCTAGTACGTCCCAGAGTGCTGCAACAGTGAACATGCAACGTATTCCTCCCGAGATACAACGTAAACCACCATCCTCGGATTTACGGGTAAATGTTGTCAGACGTTTACATTTGCAACAACAACAGCAACAACGTACCCCCGGACCATCGGGCGGAGGTTTTGAAATGTCACGCATTATAAGTCCAATAGGTGGTGGTGCGACTAGTAAAATCCAACAACCTCCAGCTGCCTCAACACCGGCTTTATCACGTCCACCTCTACGACGTCCCGGTGATGCTAACGATGATGATTATACTAAACGTGTACATATTGCCGACGAGGCCAGTGCCATGTTGGAATTGCAAGAGGAAGAAGAAGATATCTATTTCCCACCCGAAGAACCGAAATACAGTGCCCTCTCTTATATACAATTTGTTGAAGAAGATTATTTACATTTTATGTCCAATCTATTCTTTGTCATTTGTCAAAATGATTAAAGCTGAACTGAAACATTTTTTGAATTGCTTATATGTTTAGAATTGTGTTAATTTATAAAGTTAATAATAAAAAAATGGTTATAAGAAAAACAAGAAAAAATATTCCATCAAAGAAAACGAAGTTAAGGAGATGAATGTTGAAAAATAAAAAGACCAAACGAAATTCCGGGGAAGTTGATGACAAAAATATGTGTTAAATATTTTGTGGTTTTGTTTGTATTATTTATGAATAAGACACGAGATTTCCAGTGTAAAAATGTGATTACACACTATGGCGTCAAGCATTCAGTATTAATTTTGAATTTGACATGCCCTGTCACATGAGTCCATGACAAATTTGATGTTTTAGAATGTACACATGAATCTTTGCGTTGGAGAATTATTTTTGCCAAAAAGTAATTCTCCTAGCATTTTATTGTGCAACAAAAAATTCAGTATTCTATTTTTTAATAAACAACAATTTGTTTTTGTTTTCTTGATGGCCATGAACTGTAACAAAAATTACGAATAAATAAAATGCATTATTTGTATATATGTATGAAATACATGCTTCATAAATAGAAAACGAGCCCCCTTTCTTAGCTGATAGGCTGATATTTTTAAAAATAAGATATTCCATCAACATTTGATGGCAGATGTTTTAATGGTTTTGTTGTTGTTATATTGTTTTCATTCGTAGATAGATACGTAGGCTAATGTGCATATATACAGAATCCTCTTCATATATTTATATATAAGTATGTATAAATATTTCTTTTTTATATTATATATGTACACAGCAACAGATTTTGACAGTAATTTCGTTAATTATTTTTTTTTTTGCAAGACACATCTTAATCATTTAACCAAGATTTGTTGTGTTTTCTCATTATCTACTTTGTTGTGGAGAGGCGCCATGTGTTCTTCTATGAATGAATAAGAGAGTGGTGAGGAGTGACACATTGTGTGTGAGAGCCGGAGAAAGCTTAAAGAGTTGAAGAGCCAAATTAAGGGATTATGTCGTTAGAGAGCCTAGCAACCCCAAAACCAAATTCATTCATTTGGCGCGCACTCTCTCGCATCTCTCCCCCATTAACGCAATAAATATGTGAAAGAAGAGGTAGAAAAAGAAGAACTTGCTGGGGTTTTTTTTGGGGAGAATACAAAAAGTACTGTTAGTGATTGTTGTTGTTGTTTGTGGTATATGTTTGAGTTTGTTATAATTTGAATTGCTCAAAAGCAAACATAGCCAAGCAAGCAAGATAATACCAAATGACTAGCTTTTGTTGTTGTTGGCCTGTGTGATGAATATACCATTTCTTTTACTCTTAAGAGCTTCATTTGTTACCTTTGATTTCAGTAGCCTGTGAGTAATCGTCAAATACATACGTTGTTTTGCGAAATCGTAGCGCAGAAGAAGCTTCAACGAAATTAAATAAAAAAATTGAATAGAAACAAAACGAAAGCGGCTTTACGGAAGAGTTTCTAGAAGACTGATACAGAAATTTTGTGAATTGAAACAAAATAAAAAAGGAATTTAAATTCTTTATTAAAAAAACAACAAGAACTAAAAACTATTGGAACACTTTTTCTTTATCGGTTTGTGTTGGAAAAATAATGTTTAAAAGTTCTTCGTCATTGTCAATTAAACAATTGTGGTTGTTGGGCAGCACTCTTAATAAGCCTAAAGTTACAAGTTTTAATGGCTTGTTGTCGTCAACGTCATCGTTCGGTGCTAGTAAACGCTTTAAAGCAACTGCTTTAAATTTAGCTGAAAATTTGGACGAATCGTCGAAAACGTCAAATAGTGCTGCTGATGCTACTAGTGTGGAAATCGACAACAACAACACTAACAATGTACCAATTGTAAATGCCGCAGCTGATATTGATGCCAGCTTAGATTTGCGTAAAAAATTTGGTCATACCGGAAAATTGTTGCAGGATAGAATAAAAGCTGAGGTAAGTGAAGGAAGCAAAAAGAAAAAAAATGCGGTTCCCAAAAAAGCTTTTTGCCTCCCTTAAGCCGAAAGCATATGTAGCGGAGTGGGTGGTCTTCGTATGTGTGTGTTCAATAGTTAAAGCCATCATTTGTAGGTGACTTATTGTTGTTACTGTTGCTATTTTTTGGTGGGAGTTATTGATTTTTTTGTTGTTGTTATAGTTCTTTTTTTTTGGCATAGTCACCCTGTTTATGACACAATCATTACTTCCTGAATATTTTTTTATTCTGTGATTATGGGATTTATAAGGAACCGGAAATGCCATGTTATAAATAGAATATATCGCAAAAGTGAAACATGTCATGAATTTTGGTTATTTAATGAAAATAACGAAAAAAATATTTTGCGAATATTTTATAACAACTTAAACATGAAATTTGATTTAGGAGGAATGCTGGATTACAGTACATGCAGAAAACATTTTTAAATTTAGAAAGCAAATCTCCAACTTTAATTTAACTCTATTCCAGAATCCTTAAGAATCTAGATTTCATGGGATTTTTTCTTTTATACGTTTGTTTTAGAACGGAAACGGACCATATTTGTATACCCTCCACAATACTGAAGTCAATATTAACTTTGTTCTTCCATTTGAAACACCTCGAAATATTCGCAATTCACAACCTAAACACAACCTAATTTCAATAAAGTCACTTTGACACGTTTAGCAATAATTGAATATTTATGATCAATTACCTCACTTGAACAATTTGATGGATTCAGATCTTAAGCTGAAATAATGTGTAAACAAGGAGTAAACGCCTTATTTTAAATCGTGTTCATTCAAATGAAGTAAAACCAGCTCCGCTAACGAGCTGCTTCATTGACATCCAACGTGGAGCCTACTTTAACTCCCATATAATGGTATGGTCACATTTTCCAAACGAAGTGACTGTAATTCAGATTTCCGGGTTCTTGGAGGGAAAAATATGATTGCAGAAATATTTGAATGCTTCTAGCCTCATTTTCCAAGCGTTATGGTTATAAGTAGGTACTTACGGATTTCAGAGGATGATATTCATAATAGATTTTGATTATATGCCCATCAATTTACATAGCTCACATAAAAGGTCCCCGTGCTTCGATTATTAGCATTTTTATGACCCTTAAGAGCATTTTCCAACCGAAGTGGTTGACATTTTTTTAGGATTTAGACAAATTTTCCAATCCAAGTGAATGTAATTTGGTATTCCTCAGCTTCGGATGGATATTACGCTTTGGCAGACAATTTTAAACATATGTTTCACATATAATGATATTATGAATAACCTCTTAATTGTGTTGAAATTGAAACAATTTTGAATCGTTGTATTTCCGATGGCTTTAAAATTGATTCAATCATAATTCCGAATTGAATATCATCCATCAATCAATACGCCTACCAATTTTCTGTTATCCCAAAATAAAATCAAGGAAATCAACATATTTTTTTATTTCCATGACCTCGACTACTTTGATGATCCGGCCGACCTGTGAGTTATGTTGATCTTCTACTACCTTGATTATCAAAAACATCTGCCGAGTTTGGCTTTTGAAGCCTCTTGCAATGTTCTGCTACTAAGATGAACTGTCGTTGCTCCATTTAATGTCTCCCCAATCGCTAATGAATCCTTTAGAATAGATGGATGACAGTGTCAAATCCATGCCATATAGGACCATGAAAAAATATTTTTTAAAAGATCCATGTCTTAGACCATGACAAAATTTTCTTTAAAACCCTATGCTTTATACATAATTACTTAGCTGGCTGGTGACAGAACTTTCGTTCCATAAGCCGAGCTTAAAAAAGATTTCTAGGCGCGTCGATCTTTTGTGCAGTTTTTCCAATTTGAAAGATCATATTCGGCAATATTGTCTCCCACTTGATCTTTCCATCTTATTCGTGGCCTTCCGCTTCTGCGTGAACCATCACCTGGTTTGCTTTTATATGCCTTTTGAGCTGGGGCATCTTCATCCAATTCTCACAACATTACCTAGCCAACGTAGTTGCTGCAGCTCAATACGTCTAACAATGTTGATGTCCTGGTAGCTGGTACAACTCATGGTTCATTCGACGGCGATATTCACCGTCGACTCAGATCGGTCCATAGATCTTTCGGAGAATTTTTCTCTCAAACACCGAAGAACTGCCTCATCTGTTTGCGCAAGTACCCATGCTTCAGATCCATATAATAGCACGGGTACTATGAGCGTCTTGTAGAGTGTGAGTTTGGTCTACCTTATAGGACCATGAAAAAATATTCCTTACAAAATTCAAGCTCTGTCAGATTAGCTATGGAGATGTAAGGAACATAAGGAATTTCTGTGAAAGATTTAGTTAAGGGTAAACTATGGCATCGATTAACTAATGGGCGAGATAGGAAAGACTATAGTTTCGGGCCTCACACCAGATTCTCAACAATTCCCATAGTTCAGTCAGAATTTTTATTAGAGTCGAAATCGTTTATAACGACGTAATAATCACCGACATCTCATTTACATTTTACAAGATTACGGAAAAAATTCTACCACTTTATTTGAAATCGCTTATAGCGACAAATTTAACCGGCCCCTGGACCATTCGTTGTAAGCAATTCCCACTGTATTTGTATAATTATGTTTTTTTCTTGGCGTAACCCAGTAGTTCGAGTAACTGGTGATGAACTAGATATTTTACTAATTACCTGTAAGTATCACTAGTTACCACTTCATGCCCTAGACTGGTGAATTTAACATAGGTATGTCATTGGGGAAGTCAATTGTCCCATGCCTGCGTTACCAGTATACAGTCATTTCGATAGTCGATTCATTACCCTTTGAATTACCAGTAACTACTGAATTGGTATGATGTGCGTAGACAACTTTTTCAATTGACAAAAAAATCCAACAGTCTATTTTGTGTTCCTTTTTGGGGTATGAAGTAACTAGATCACCAAGTAACTAGCTGTATAACTATATAATAGCTGACAATTGATATTTTTTGAACAACTGGGAATGTAGTACCCAAATTCGATCACTGTTGCCGGATTCAAATTCGTTTTCTATTTCTTTCTGTTTTGTTTACAAATATTTTTAGCAGATTGATTCTTTTCCCGGGCAAAAGACGCAAATGCTGAGTGTGCAGCATACGACAAATATGCCATTCATATATTTTTTTGTTTTGCCATTGTCAGCAAATATGTGTCAAATACATACACGCGTGTGTGTGTTTGTATTTCATAATGCAAAAAATGTTGAATATCTTTAAGTTATGAAAATAAAAAATATTTTCAAAAACAACGAAATACTTCCTCGTCGTATCAATCAAATTGATTTTGTGGTCAACTCCTATTAATGTTCATTAAATGCCCATATATTGTTTATTTTGTTATTAGTGGTGCTCAGAGGTAAACAATCATCATCAAATATTTGAAAATTGAAGCTATTTGAATTGTTGATGGATGGATGTGATTTTGAGATCTGAGATTTTTTTTTCGAAATTATTGTTAATTGTTATTGAATGAAATTTCTAGTACGTAGGGTAGGATAGGGAGCTAGAGCTGAAGGGTGTATATTTAAGAGGAATACTAAAATACTTCCCCCCAAAAATTCTAAAATTTCTTCTATTGTTTTTTGTTCCAAAACTTGTACTTGTATACTAAATTCCAAAGTTTATTGTTTTCAATGGAAATTTTGCGAGTGTGTTTATGTATTTGCCTTTTATTGTGTTTTGTTGCGGTTTTTTATGTTTGTGTGTATTGTGGCGATCTTTTTGTGTTTCGATCTTTCTTTTTATTTTTCGTCTACACCAAAACGAAATACACTTTGTATTTCAAATTCTTTTTTCAATGTTTCTTTCGCCTGGAGCTATCACAACAAACTATACAAAAGTGACATGACTCAACTTCTCGAAACTTCGTCTAGGCAAAAAATTTTTTGCAGACTTCAAAGACACGCGCAACACCACACAAGCAACATTTTTTAGGGGTAAACCATTTTGAGGCGTTTTTTTTTGAATAGAAGAAGAAATAAAGAGAAGAAAGAAAGCAAAAAATTAAAAATATACAAAATTTTAATGATGAAGGAGAAACAAAAATTGTAAACATTTGCAGAAATTTTGCTGGAGGCGGTGGATTCCCTGTGGCGTTTATTTTTTTTCTTTTGAGATTAAAATTTAAAACTTTTCAGAACTGAATTTTATAATCAAAAAAGAATAAGGAATATAATATAATTTTTTAAAATATTTTTTAGACTAGTTGAAGGCGTCCTTATCAACGAGCTAAAGGAAGTCTGTATATGATAGGAGAAAGGAGTATTTTGAGACGAGTTCAAAATGTTTTTTTATAGACGAGCTGAAGGAAAACTTTATATATGGGTTGAGTAGGACTTTATAGACTAACTGAAGCGACTCTTTATAGGCAAGCCGAAGATCCTCTTCATAGACGAACCTCCTATTTTTGGACGAGTAATGATGGATCTTTTTTAGACGAGCTGAAGGAAGTCTTTTTAGACGAGCAAAAGGGAGTCTTTTTAGACGAGCAAAAGGGAGTTTTTAGAAGTCTTTTTGGACGAGCTGAAGGAGTTTTTTTTAGACGAGTTGAAGGGAGTATTCTTAGACGAGTAGAAGGGAGACTTTATAGACGAGTTGAACGGATTATTCTTAGACGAGTTGACAGAAGTATTTTTAGACTAGTTGAAGGGAGTATTTTTAGACGAGTTGATGTTAGTATTTTTAGACGTATTGAACAGGGTCTTTGTTGAAAGGAGCCTTTTTAGACGAGCTGGAGGGATTCTTTTTAGACGAGCTAAAGGGTTTATTTTTAGACGAGTTGAACGGGGTCGGTGTTGACGAGCAAAAGGGAGTATTTTTAGACGAGCTGACGGGAGTCTTTTTAGACGAGCTGAAGGGAGTATTTTAAGACGATTTGAACGGGGTCATTATTGGCGAACTGAAGGGAGATTTTGTAGAATGGCTGAAAAGACGAGCTGAAGATATTATTT